GCGGCTACACCCATCATTCCCCCCCCCCCGGCCGGCGCTTGCACCCATCTTCGCAAACCTGCAGCTTCTGCAGCCCCTGCTGTGTCCCTATTGCGCCGGGCTGTGGGCCTGTGCTGGGCCATCCGTTTAGACTGCGGGGCAAATCCAGCAAACCATGCCTTGTGGTTTGAAGCGGAGAAACGTCCTGGCCTTTCCCCACACTTGCAATCCAGGCTTGCACGATAGATGGTAGTAGTGGTATTATTATTATTATTATTATTAGTAGTAGTAGTAGTAGCAGAAGCTAAGCTAGCTGCCTGTTCAAAGCCCCTGTCGCAAGCTTACCGGCTTCTCAAGGTGGCTGGTGTAAGCGGTCGTAGTTAACATCATCATCAGCAGCAGCAGTAACCTGGAGTTGGATAACAGGAAGGAGGAGAGCTGTTCGTCATGGTGCCATACACGCTGAAGCTCAGTTCCCCCCCCCCCGGCCCACCTCCCCCCATGCCGTCCTGACTGGTGGCAGGCGCGGGCTACCCCTACCCGGCCCCAGCTGGGCATCCGCCTCCTCCGGGCTATGGCGGCTACCCGGCCCCAGGCTATGGCGGCTACCCGGCCCCACCTCAGCCGGTAGGGTGCTGGTTGGGTCGGAGAGAGGATAGCTGGCTGGGTATGAATGCGAGCGGAGCGGACAAGTAAGGGGCTGATTCCCTTGACCAATTGCTGAACCATTGGCAGGGTTAACCAACCTTATAAGCAAGCCGCAAGCGCGTTAAGTTGGTTCTACATACTCTCTGTCGGCGTCAGCATCGGCACGTTTCCTTTCCATTCCTGGTCGCGACTGATGTCCGCCTCGGCCTCGCAGGGTATGGAGAGGTAGTGGCGGAGATGCTGGAGACTTGCACTGCGACCTGCGCGGGACAGCGATGATGAGACAGGGACAGAGAGGCGGCCTCGCATAGGCGTCGCATAGGCGAAAGGCTGCAGCGAGAGCCGCTGCCTCAGAACCCTTTAATGGGAATTGGGTAGGGGGGTATGCAGCAGGACAAGGCAATGCGTGAAGGCGTGAGGCAGGAAGAATGCGTGCATGCCAGGATTCAAGTTTTTGCTGTGGTGGGGGTGTGGAGGGGAAACCAAGGCGCGTGTGAGGGCGTATGCCAGCTGCATGTGCGCGCTTTGGTGTGTTTGGGTTTGGGACCCCGGCGGCACCGGAGGCGATACACCAGGCATGTCTTGGGGCGCTGTAGGGGACTGCGCACACACACAATTGCATGGGTGATGGGGCATTGTATTGTGCAAGGAATAGTAAGGTGAGCTGTCGACGTGCAAAGTTGATGGGGGATGAGCTGGGCCCGGCTCTGCTGTCTGCTATACACTGGCTATTGCAGAGCATACAGGACCCAGTTGGAATGGTTGGTATGGCTCTTTTCGAGTGCCGTGAAATACATACATACATACATACATACATACATACATACATACATACATACATACATACATACATACACGCAATGAGGTAGATAAAGTAATCATGGGGGTTTAGTGTACAGGCTTGGAAAGCGAGCAAAGAAACAGGAAAAACGGGTAGGACAAACATAGCCTGTCTGTTGTTACTGCCCTTTGGAATTGGAACATAGCCTGTCTGTTGTTACCGCCCTTGGGTAGGACAAGGGCGGTAACAACGGACAGGCTATGTTCCAAGGGTTGGCTTGCGTCTAGGTGCCTGGCGGTTCCTATTCCCATGTCGCTCGGATGCCATCCGGATGTTTTCCGGTTCAAGCGAGGCAAAGTTTAAACAGATGGGCAGGGAGCCTTCAGGCAGCGAGTGCGCCATCCGCACGGTGGGGCCGGCCGGCCGTGGCGAATGAGTTGACGGGGGGGGTGTCGTCGCCTGTGGTGGTGGCCTGTAGGCCACATGCGGCGGGAGGGGATGATCGCACATGGTGGTCAGTCAATGTTGGGTGTTGGTGGATGATCCAGGCAAAGCCGTCCTTAGCGGTCCCTCTTTCTACTGAGGGCGCGAGCACATCGCGATGCAGCCGCAGGGACACGTGGGATGGATTGGATAACGGGGAAATGCGCAGCTGGTGGAGTGTGGAGGCCATTGAAAGGATTGGAGCTCAATGGGATTGGATATGATGTGAAACTGCAGGTAAGGAACAGGGGCACCGGCACGCAAGCGCAAATGTGCAGTAGGCTTGCAGTGGAGTATGGGTAGAAGCTTTTTAAGGGGGTTCCAAAACCTTTCTGGTGGTAACGCCTGCTGTTTGCTTCTGCTTGCTTATGCACAGTCCTTTTGCTGAGGGCGCCGTAGGCGCGCGATGTCATGGAGTGTAAGACGTGGAGTGGACGCGCCGAAAGGCCCTCCGCCAAGGGCTGTGGGTCTTGGCGTTTGCCATGGCGGAGGGCAAAGCGTCGCTGTGTGGGCGGGGGGATTAAATACATCTAATCCCAAGCGGAAGCATTCCTTTTCAGAAAATTGTTGTTGCACGGGACGGAGAGCACCGGTCTAGCAAGCTGAGGACAACCACGTTCTTTCACGTTCGGTGGCCCTAAGGAGAAGAAGAGGAACGTAAACAGAGCAGGGGGGAAATCAGCAGGAATGGAAAGGCAACCGTCGGCAACCGGACCTAAGCCGGCTGGAACCCCAGGAGCGGAGAGGGAATGAGAGTCAGCGAGAACGGCTGCCTAGCACCGTATCCTTCGTTTTCTTCCCCTTCGTTTTCTTCCCGCTGGCACCCATTCCCGCTCGTATTAGCCTCCAAGAGCAGCTGCAGGTTGTGATTGGCGCCTCCTAAGGCTTTTTGAATCCGCGGTGGAAGTTGGACTGTCGCAACACGCCTCAAACAGCAGAAAGAGTGAGCAGATAGACGCAGACATAAACGTGACGAGTAAGAGCCCCACAGTCTTGTAAGAAATCACCCTCCGAATAAAGCATATAGAGCGGGGAGGCTCCCAAAGATGGGAGCGTTGGCAGTTTGGTACTTGGGTTGGTCACTGGTGGTCAACTCTGTGGCTGCCCCATCGTCGTGCACAAATCCTGGCCCCATCATACAGCCACATCTAAAATGGTGGGACATACATAATGGCACCGTTTCATATGCCAGGGCCAGCTGGCAAAAGTCAACCGTTGGATCCGTTCTTTGCGTTATTGGTTGCCGTATACGTCAGCTTTTGTTAAGAAAATGAACAGCACCAGCCGCACGGCAAGGCATAGTTCCTGGGGAGAATCACCTGCTGGCTTTCCTCAGCCTTATTGAAAACCGGCGAAACCGATGATGGTCCGTACCACGCAGAAAAAATAGTGGGAGCTGGACGAGCGCATCACAGCGGCACGAGTTTCGTCAGGCTACTAGAATTATAACTCCCTATTACATTACTGTACCTGAGTTATCGACGACTTTCATTCAACAGTGTTGCTGCCGGACCACCTTTAGAGCCTGTGTACTAAAGCAAACGCACGCACTACACGTCAGTTGGCATTTCAGGGATGTTCCAACAGCTTGGAATGAGGGGCGGCCGAGCGGCCGGGTGTCTCAAGCTCGCATGAACAACACCGTTTCCGACGGCTTATTGCTCTTGTTGCATCTGAGCTCAAGGCTTGCGCATTACTGTGGCGTATCTAAAGCAAGGCATGAGGGCAGGCGGACAACACAGGCTCCTTACTTGCCTTACTCGCACCGGGCCTCTTGTGGTTACGTTACAGTCTCTTACGCTATGGCTGGCGGCATGGGTATACGTCAAAAGGTACGCGTTACTATTCTTCGCGCTTTGCTAAACCAGCCCAGGCCAAGACCTTGCGGTCGATGATCTTTCGCATTCCTGTGATGACCGGCTGTACTACGCTCTTGATAGGACCTCATATGCCTGTTTCTCC